AACTAAGTCTGCTTGCTAGTTTTGATATATGGGGGCTCCATTGAAGCTTCGCGTCTGGTGTGATTCCAAGAAAAATGGTGGTATCTACAAGTCTCAGTTTCTCCCCATTTAAAATTACATTAGTATTTAATTGTTTGACATTTGGAGTCACGAATTTCATACATTTTGTTTTAGTGCCATTTAAATGCAAATTATTAACATCGAACCAATTTACTAATTTAGAGATAGCATTATTTACTTCGTCATATTTTAGTAACTGTCGACTTAATTTGATATAGCCTTTCCTTTACCAACCTTGATATCCTCAACTCTAGCCTGGTTCGCTTTAGAAATGTTTTGAAAGACATTCTCAAAGACATCCCCTTTGATTAATATTCATTGTAGTTTAAGCAATTTTATTTAAAATGTTTGTTTCTCATTCTTGTCATGCCGTGATAACACGTATAAGGATTATGTCTTGTATCACACCATTATTATTCTAAGTTATAGCTTTAAGTCATGATGTAATCTGTTGTGTTATCCAATAAATTAATTAATTAATTCCAATTACATACATATCGTTACTACCTTAAAAATAATGGCTTAAAATAAGTGTACGTTCGGTTAAAAATGTGAATAAATAATTTTGACACAACAACAACTTTCGGTCAACTGCATATCACTTTTGGTGCCATATGTGTAAGCACACAAAATAGAAGGCACTTAAGTTTTAGTTTTATGTGTTGTAATTATCCACTATATAAAAGTAAATATTTGTCTATTTTTTCGTCTTGTTTGCATTCTAATACCATTTATCCTATAACGACAAAACTTTTTAATTGGTAAGTTGTTTTGCGCGCGATCCTAAAGGCTTCTTTCTGCTTCTGACATACAAAATGGTATTGCCGTGCATGCAACACTTAGTTTAAATATTCTCCGCATTGAATTTCCCATAAATTTTTTATAACGTAGAATTTTTCTTACTTCATAATGTAAGCTTCATACGTAAGTATGTAAGTACCTAATCTTGAAATAAAAAATGTCATTTTTTTTCTTTTTCCTCTTTTTACGACTGTGTTAAAAGTGTGTGTTTATAATTTATATTTAAAAACCCTTCCCAGTTTTTATTTACTAAGTTGGTAACCCTATCTGCAAAGTTACCAAAATAAATAACCAAATTGCTTTTAAGAATGTACATCGCCCGTTGTTTAAAGACTCCTTATGTTAACAATATTGTCAACAATTTGATTACGCATCCACCTAATTAGGAAGACAGTGCTATTTCTATCACTTTTAACTAGGGCTGCCAACCATAGTAAATAATATTACAGTATTCAACAATATTAGACGTCCAAATACTACAGTCCTAAAAAAATTTATAGTATACGAAACTATGTTTTCATATAGGCTGACAATGACACCGTGTGGTGGTTTAAAAAAATATAACAACATGTCCTCCTATAGGTGTCGTAAAAGGCGACTATTTGTTAGAAAGACCTCATGGCATCTTAAATATAACGGTATAATTATACCATTTCTTTAACGCCAGACGTAAAATATTTAGACCGGAGGTCTGAGTACTGCGATCGCCAACCCTCCCGACAAGCGTGGTGATTATAATCCTCCCTTCAATAGGTGAATCAGTTGTCCAACAGTGGAATTGTACGAGCTTATAAAGAAGAAAATGGCGTGAGGCTGTTAATATAGGCAAACAACAGCAAAAATTATTCCTTAAAAAAAATTTGTACAGCCGATTTCAGTGTACGTTATTAAGAATAACTCAAAAACTATTGGTCGACCTTGATCAAATTCATATGGGACCACACGAGAAGTATCAGCTTTCATATAAAAAAAAGAATCATCCAAATCGGTTCACCCAGTAAAAAGTTATGAGGTAACACACATAAAAAACATACAGTCGAATTGAGTACCGGCTCCTTTTTCAAGTCGGTAGAAAAATAAAATATTAATTTGAATCATATTTTTTCGCCATCTACCGCATTTTCTGCCGACTTCCAAAAAGGAGCCGGTACTCAATTCGACTGTATGTTTTTTTTTTTTCGTTTTTTTTTTTATGTGTGTTACCTCAGAACTTTTTTCTGGGTGAACCGATTTCGATGATTCTTTTTTTATTTGAAAGCTGGTACTTCTCGTGTGGTACCATATGAATTTGATCAAGGTCAGACCAATAGTTTTTAAGTTATTCTTAAATAACTTATATTGAAGTCGGCTGTACAAAATTTTTAATTTTTAATTATTACAGGTAATAGCTCTGAAATTACTATAAATAATATAAGAGAGTTGGCAACCCTATTCCTAACTTACACATTACGTGCCTACCTCCAGCCTTAAAGAGAGCTTAGAAAGTCTGGGCAAAAGTGAAACTGTCTGGGACCCAATCGCAGCCTACGATTAGCGAGTGACAGCTGGCGTTTACTTTCGTTTCGTCGGCCATCAAACTAGATTCGGATGCCCTCGATTTTACGGCCTCTAATTGCAACACAAGTACATATTTGATCTAAATCAAACGTGCGACAGCTTTTCAAAATATTACATACCTATATTAGTATTTTGGAGATTTTTTTTATAGAATCAGTGTGACAAGCGAGTACACAGTCTACCTGATGTTAAGTCAATGCTGTGGCCTATAGTCATCTATATCTTTCCTTTTTTTTTAATCAAAATGCAGATACGTTGTCACCACTGAGGACTAAGATTTAATACCTCGTATATAGTAAAAAGGGTCTCCGGTTCTCTACACCATATGAAAAGCAGCATTAAGTTGTTATTTTACGCTGGTATTCTGTGAGTGCGTGGTCCTACCCCAGTCGAGCCGACCCATTCGTCCGACAACTATAATACAACTGCAACATGGCTCTACCATGTATAATTAAGTATTTTTCATTAATACGAGTGATCAAGATAGGAGCGATTAATTATCAAGATATGAGTAAAATTTTCAATAAATTTACGTAACAAAATTAACTTTTAACAAAAAGTAAAAGTATAGGAGAATTAAAGCCGTCGGGGCTCAGAATGTGAAACCATTTTAAATTTTCTTTAGATCTTTGAATACGGCTTTAAAGTTATTTTTTGTCTACTTTCATTAAAAACTTCATACCCTATTTTGCCAGCATTAAGATGGAATTTTTTTCTCTAAATTTATATGAGACCACGCCTACAGTTTATGACCTATTCACGAAGATATTACGTAAAATACATACAAAAAAAAACATACAGTCCAATTGCAAGCCTACTCCATTTTAGAAGTCGTCTAAAAATAATTATTTCGTTTGTTAGCATTGTAAGAGAATCCATCACCACGGGAACAAATGCCACGCCTATGGGAAATGCCAGAAAGATCATTTTAGGTTCCAGAACAGAAATTAAAGAAAGAAAGATCAAACAGGAGAACCTCTCCAGCGGTAGAGTGTTAACAGACTGATGACCAGCCTACGTCCTACAGCCAACATTGTGTTTATCGAGGATTTTTCCAATAATTTTTTAAATTTATTTTACTTGGTAAAGCCATGCTGCAGCTATATTAGTAGTATAGTTGTAGCAGGAATGGGTCGGCTCGACCTGAGAAGGACCACACTCTCACAGAATACCAGCGTAAAACAGCAGCTTAACGCTGCTGTGTTTCGTATGGTGAGTGTAGAGAACCGGAGACCCTTTTTACTGGAAATGAGGTATTCCATCTTAGTCCTCACGGGTGACAACGCATCTGCATTTTGATTTGTAATAGAGGATAGATGTAGATGTCTATGGGTCGCAGCAACCACTTACTATCAGGGAGACTGTGTGCTCGTTTGTCATCATTATCCTATAAAAAAAATTTATTCTTAGTTCACAACGTTTCGGATGCTTAGCTGAATACCCTACTCATGGTCCTGATGTCATACAGTGTGTAGATAACCCGGGTTTTCTTGAACTTTCAAATACACATTTTTCTTCCGATTTAATATTTAAAAAACTAAAGGTAGCCCAGGTTAAATGTGACATTAAGTTACGTCAAACACTGGGAATTAAAAATGAGTTAAAATTACATACATACATATATATAACGCCTCTTTCCCGTAGGGGTAGGCAGAGACCACTTCTTTCCACTTGCTACGATCCTTACATACTTGTTTCGCTTCGTCCATTTTCATTATTCCCTTCATACATGCTCTTCGGTTTAGGGTACTCTTGACCTGGCCTTTTTTCAAAACGTCCCTGATTTCATCTATAAACGTCCGCCTAGGTCTACCCCTTCCAACACTTTCATTCACACTCGCCTTATACACTTTTTTCATCAATCGTTCTTCATTCATTCTCTCGACATGGCCAAACCATCTCAGCATACCTTTCACAATTTTTGTCACTACATCTTCTTTCAGACCACAACGTTTCCTTATCTCACTATTTCGTATCCTGTTACTCAGTTTAACTCCTATCATACTTCTTAACGCTCTCATCTCAACTGCATTTATTCTGCTTTCATGTTTCTTCTGCCTCGAGTTAAAATTAAACGCTATAACTTGCTTCTTCCGTTTGTAGTGGTGATATATCAGAAACTACTACGTCATCTCGTGGGTGCCACGTAAGAGTCAACAGAGGAAAATGAAGCAGGAGATGAGCAGCGACATCTTCCTAATAACAACTTAAAATAATAAAATACTGCTGCTGCCAAACCACCTTCCAAGCATTACAGCTATGGCAAATATCTTGCATATGAGGCAATCTGGGGGCCTATGTTCAGCAGTGGACTTTTGATAAGCTGTATTGAATGAATGAAACATAGTTTAAATCAATGAATTATTTCGAAATGGTGGCTTAGCATTGAGTTGCAGCGGTTGCGGTGTCAAATCCGCACGAAATAAGTGTTTGTTTGGCCTACAAATAATTGTTCCGAGTATAGATGTTTATACAGGAGAAAACCCTAGTGTGGGGATAACGTTTTTTGGTAAATAAAAAAAAATAAAGGTAATCTATATGTTATTTGTGATTACTAACAAGCGTTTATTCTCCGCAAGTAGGCGACGTGGCGGTTATGCGATGCATACGACTACTCTTCGTCCTGCACGCGGCCTTACCGCGCGAACCGCGCGCGTCCCTTGCCCGCCGCGCCGTGCGACCTCTCCAAGCAGACCTACTGCACCACGCCGGGAAGCGCTTACCCCTGGCACGCTATACGACGATTTGTCCGGGAGAACCAGGTATTTCTTAAAACATAAGTATGTTGATAATAAAAAAAATTTAGAAGTAGATATATAGTGGTAGAGCAACGCTACAGCGATATTATGGCTGAAAGACGAATGGGTCAACTCGCATAAAACACCATCGTAGTATAGCAGTAAAATGATGCTGAGCTTCAAATAGTGAATGACGACACAGAAACCGGGGTACGAGGTATTCATCATTGTCCTCAAAGGTAACAAGTGACTGCACATCTGCATTTTAATTTTAAATTGCTGACAGATATAAATGTTGTTGCTGTAATTTTTTACGTGGTAGAGCCATGCTGCAGCTATATTAGAAGTATAGTTGTAGCACGAATGGGTGGGCTCGACCGGGGAAGGACCACGCTCTCGCAGAATACCAGCGTAAAATAGCAGCTTAACACTGGTGTGTTTCGTATGGTGAGTGTAGAGAACCGAAGACCTTTTTTACTGGTAAAGAGGCATTTCATCTTAGTCCTCACGTGTGACAATCTGCATTTTGATTTTTTATTGAGGATCGATGTGGATGTCTATGGGTCACAGCAACCACTTACCATCAGGTGAACTGTGTGCTCGTTTGTCACCCTATCCTATAAAAAAATGTCTATGGGTCACAGCATATACTTAACACATTCCCTGTCCCGTGATTCACATATGCTATTGTCTTACTATTGTGTTTGGAAACTGGACAGTGATAGTATTAATACAGGTTGGGCAGTTGGTTGGGGATAAGTAGCAACAGATAAATTGGGCAGTGTACTCATTCTGGTAATGCGCTAGCACTTCCATCGCTATGTGAGAAGTTTGGGTTCAGTATTCGGATGAATTCTTTGGCATCTGTCAATCACATGAGCCTTGGTTTGTTAAACAGCAGTAAGCTCTACATGCCGGCAATGTCGAAATTCAGCGAAAAGTTCGCATACTCTACACCCCAACTCCTATACAGTCCAAGCAAAACAATTTATTTATACAACATATTTAAAAATGAATTATATTACATTTCAGGGTCTCATGAGAAGAATGTACGGTGAAGAACGACATATATCAGTGTTAAAGGCTGAACTGGAAAACTTTATAGAAGATGATGACGACAGTGATAGGAAATCAGCTGACTTCGCTGATGATATAATCAAAGCTAAATTAATGTACACGAAGAAAACCCTCGGGCGAGCCATGAAGGACAAACCCCACTTCAGACCAATACAGACAGCTGACAAACACAAAAAGTTTGAAAACGATACTCTAAAAGTTAAGCCATTAGAAAACTACATCAACCATTTCAGAGTTAATAACACAAATAGCAATAAGACTGAAATAACAAACAATGAAACTATGAATGACGACAAAGGCGTATCATATAAAACAAAACTGGAAAGCATAGCTAATATAGAAATAAATAATTTAGATCCAGACATAATAACTCTAGAAGCTGTTATAAAACAAACGATAGAAACTAACAATATATATCCAACATTTTCTGGAATTTCAAAAAGCGAACCTTTGAGAGACGACAGCGACTTTAAAAATAATACTGATAGAAATGTTACAACAACTACAGAATATTTAATGAATAGTACAGAAACAACTGATATGCAATACGATTACACAACGACAGAACCAAACAAAGATGGATGGAAGCCTATGGATACGGACACATCTACTCTGCCCCCTACATTATTATTCTCTGAACATGACAAGTTAAAAAATGATAGAATCGATACCAAAGTAACAGATAAAAAGGAGGAGTTTCATCTTAAACCCACGCAACAAGAATCGATGCGGCCTTCTGTTATTAAGCTGCGAGGAGCGTAAGTGTTTTCTTTATTATAAAACCAAAGATTTCTATGTATGTCACTACTAGACAGGCAATTCAGAACAAAAACTACGTCACAGATGAGTTGAGGTCGCCGGAAAACGAAAAACAACTTAATCAAAATCGATTCATCCGCTCGGGAGCTATGATGTCACATACAAATACACAGATACACACTACAAACACATAACACCCCTCTGTTTTCGTCGGGGGTTAAAAACAAACAACTAGTCTTATCCTCTGCTCACAGTCGACTGAAGAAGCTACGGAGGATTGACCGTAACTTACTGCGCAATGTATTAGTACCGTAGTGCTCGACTAGTAGTATAAATAGAAGTCTTTGTTATAACCTCATGCACGCACACACGTACATACGCATTCACATATGGTACACAACACAACACTAAACCGCATCAGACTATGCCGCGCTACACATTATCACACTATCGTGCTTGACGAGATTCGTTCTCGAATATTTCCAAATCAAAATGTAGGGAACAATCTCATAGTAAGGACCGAGGTCACTTACGGGGGGGGGGGGGGCATCATTTTGTAAAAACTATTATTACTCGAGCACACAAATATTTTTGTACTCCAGCAACGCCTGTGAATCAAAAGAAGAGATGGCGGCGCCTTTCTGGGCCAACAGCACACGAGGAGAAGTTCTGGCGCTGCTCAACATGTACCCTTTTGAACAATACATACACTTAGAGACCTGTGTCCATGAACGAAAGCAAATGTACTGCAGGGAAGGCTGCAGGTACGTATACGATGTTTTAGTGCCAAATGTAAATATTATATCACTCTGTGTTTTCTCTTTACTTTGCTCTAATGAACAAAACTAATATATAAAAATTTATGTTTGTTTGTTCGTATTTTATGCGCTGCCACACCGTTCATCGGATTGCGCTAAATCTTTGTCAACTTACTGCTTGCACTTCCGCGAAGGTGATAGGTATATTACAATTAACTTGCAGTTGGTGGCGCGCGCATCGCCCCGACAAATTTATTTGAAAGTCATTTATCATTCAATGTCAACGAATATATTATCATTCGTAATTAGACAATATAACTCTACCAAATGTTTGCGATATCTGCGCAACTATTTCTTTTGCGACAGCAATACCCCAGGATTCAGCTAGTCATTATTATTTTTAAACTCACTGAAGTAAAAATTGACACACGTACAAAAGTCTACATAATGTTACGTACCTAAAGTAATGTAGCGGCCCACACACAAATCTATCCTCGATTAAGAATCAAAATTCAGATAAGCTGAAGCCTGACTACGATGGAACACCTCGTATCCAGGAAATATAATCTACCGGCTCTTCGGTTCTCGTCAGTCACCTTACCATTAGGTATTACGCTGTTTAGTTATATGCTATTTTACGTTGGTATTCATTAAGAGTTATTATTTATTTAATGTAGAGAAGAGCATGGTTCTTACCCGGATTACTTGACCCATTTGTGTTAAAAGCATAATACAGTTGCAGCGTGGCTCCAAGCTAAAATATTATAATTCGAAAATACAGAATAGCTTGAAATATACTAATGGGCTCCTTAAATTTAGCAAGGTTCATCTATTTATTGCATAGAGCAGTGATCGGCAAAGTGCGGCTCCAGAGCCGCATGTGGCTCTTTGGCTCCTTAAGTGCGGCTCTGGGACAAATATCCACGGAAGGTGTAATAATATTTTCATTTAAAAAAAAACTTGGTGAGAAAAAAATTACATCTTATTTTGATAAATTAAAATTCTTCTTTAAATCGAGAACATGTATAATTTTTTCTTTAAGTTAAAAGATAGATAGGTAGTTAGTGTTGTAAAAATACTTAACGAACATCGAGTTTAATTTTATTGGTTTTCGTAAACGTAAACACAAACCATGTACAAGCTACCGGCTGAAATTGTTCGTATATTTTCGGCGTACTCCGGTGTGATACAAAGGTACCACCAGGCGTGTCACTTTGTAAAAATCTGAGGTATGGAAAATGGTGGCGCGATTTTCAAATTTGTTCGCATTACTCGTGGGGTATTAAGGTTTAAGAGTTTGCAGTGTATATACTCAACTTATTTATTGAACTATAAGATGTGGGGTATTGAGGTTTAAGGGCTTGCGATTTATTTATATTGGTATTGTAGTAATATGCGATTTATTTCCTAATTTCAGCTATGGAATTCCATACCTTGAAAAACTTGAGGTATGGAGTGCTCCATACCTTCCATAGTGGAAGTGACACCCCTGGGTACCACAAGCATGCGCGCGCATACTTTTTCTAAGCCACTACCTTACAAATTGGCATCACAGACCAGCAGTTGCAGTGTGAACAGTTTTGTCTTTTCTACCGTGTCTGCCGTTAAACACAACAACTTTTTGATAAGACAGGACTTATTAAAAAGTTGTTGTGTTTTTCAATCTAGCTGCACATCTTGAAGGTATTTTTATACGATTTTATTACACCTGTTATGTATGTTTGTGGTTCCTGTACTATATTTGTAATCAATTTTTCGATAACTTCAATTTATCCAAATATTGGAAGGTTTCTTCCATTTTTGATCATATTAAAAGTTTTGTTATTCTGATGATTTTTATTTTCATCAATTTAATAATGATAATAATTTTTTTTTATATTCTACTAAGACAGCGCTTATCTACTATCCCACCTGATGATAAGTGGTGATGTAGCCTAAGATGCTGAAGCGCACTGACTTAACAAAAGCCTATTCACTCTTGCCTTGAAGACACCCACACTGTAATCGGAAGGAAATACAGATGCTGGCAACTTTATTCCACTCCTTTGCTGTACGCATGATGAACGACGTGGCGAACCGTTTGGTTCGAATGCGTCGTAAGTCGTGGCCGAACTTCTGATTGTCCGATGGTGGAAGGGAGAGGGAGGAATTAAATTATGCAATTCCTGCGCACACTCTCCGAAATGCATCCTGTACAAAACCGAAAGACTGGCTACTTTGCGTCTGTGTTCGAGGCTAGTAAGATAGGTTTTAACCAAATTCGGGTCACTAATAAGCCTCTTAGCACGCCTTTCCATTGAGTCCAAAGCTGCTAGGTGGCATTTTGCAGCACCAGCCCATATATGGCAGCAATACTCCATGCACGACTGCACTTGCGCTTTATATAAAGTAAGCATCCTTTCCTCATATCCTTCAGGATATCTCAAACCCTAACAACTGAAGGCAGTCGGTATATTCCAGTAATACATTTCGGAAAGAAGCTCCTTTTTTCAGTGAAGAGACACGCTTGTGTTTTGGAGGCGTTGAATTTCACAAGATTGGCATCACCCCATTCGGAGACCGCCAGTAGTGTGAGATTCACATGCTCTGCCATAGCTTCTCTTTCGAACTGGATTTGATCCCGACTGGCTTGTGGACTTGGTTGGTATCTCTCCACAACTGTGCTATCGTCTGCATACCCATAGATACTGGACATAAGCGATCATTAATATGCAGCAGGAAGAGAGTTGCGGAGAGAACGGACTCCTGAGGAACACCGGCGTTAGTCGCCATAGGATCGGATGAGAAGCCATCAACGACGACCAGGAAGAGACCATTCACTCAGAAAGTCCTTTATCCATTCAATCAGACCAAGGAATAAGCCGTACGCTGGAAGCTAACCTAAAAGGCTAGTGTGCCAAACTCTGTTAAAAGGTCTTTGAGATCAAGGGAAACAGTAAGTGCTTCCCAACTGTTCTCGAGTGCCTGAGCTGACGGATTTCGGCGAAACCCATATTGCCGGTCACTAAGGAGGTCATTCTGTTCTAGGTATGCCATTAAGCGGCCGTTGTATTGGTTGCTTTTGTTGTGTGTTGTACTGGTGATTTTAGAAAAAGTATATTTAGAATATTTCTATAGGCACCCCAATTAACATAGCTACCAAAAAAAAAACAAGGAAAAACGGAAGATGAAAACCGTGAATTTAAGGTTGAGTGGACTGAGAATTTTGCGTTTATTCAAAACTTAAATGGACTTCCGATATGTCAAATTTAGAGAGACACTTTACAAGAAAGCACGCCTCATTTAGCACTAAATATCTTACCGGTGATGCAAGGAATAAAGCAGTTGAGGATCTTCAGAAGAGTCAAGAGTCGTCAACTTCTTTGTTTAATAACTGGATGCTATCTTCCAGTAATATATAATACACCAAGTTTTGTTTTTAACTAAGGATTGCTAAAAGAGTGAAACCGTACACAGACGACGAATACATAAAAAATTGTTTTATAAATGCATCCGAAGAGTTATTTCGGGATTTTAAGAACAAAGCAGATATTCTGAAAAGAATTAAAGAGTGTAACAGTTGTCAGTAACATTGTCTGCCAAAACCATTAAAGATAGAACAATTAAAATGTGTTCGAATATAACCCAGAATATCGAAGATCTGAAATTGGTTACGGGTTTATCAATAGCAGTTGACGAGTCTTGTGACGTAAATGATATAGCGCAAGTTTCACTTTTTGTAAGATTTATGTCTCATTCAGGCCCTAAAGTAGAACTTTTAGGATTATTACCACTCAAAGGTCAGACGCGTGGAGAAGATATCGCAAATGCTGTAATTAAGTGTATGGATAAACATCGTATTCCACTGGATAAAATTGTGTCGATTTCAACAGATGGGGCCAAAAGTATGACCGGCGTAAGAAAAGGATTTGTTGCTATTTTGAATGAAAAAATTAATCATGAGATACGTGTTTACCATTGTATCATTCACCAAAAACCGCTTTGTGCGCAAACATTTCCGGATATAATTTGTAAAGTTAATGAATTAGTGATTACCATTATCAACTCCATTTTAGCTAAAGCTCTTAATCATCGCCAATTCAAAGAATTTTTATTTGAAATGGAGATTGAGTACGCTGATGTTCTGCTTCATAACAAGGTTCGTTGGTAATCAAGAGGGAACGTTTTAAAACGTTTAGCGTCCATTTTTTCGGAAGTTAAAGCATTTTTCCTTGAGAAGGAGGTTCACAATCCAGAACTAACAGACGATCAGTGGATCCAAAACTTTTATTTTTACGGTAGACGTTACGTTTCATCTAAATCAGCCTAATCGTAAACTACAAAGGAAAGGAAAATTAATTTTTTCGACGTTGGAAGAAGTAATAACATTCGAAAACAAATAATACATTTTTGCTCAGGATTTTGAAAGTGAAAGATTGCTTCATTTTCCGAGCCTGCTGAAGCATCGCCAAGAAAATAATTCCTCTTTTGATAAACACCATATTAAAACAATAATTTTAAATAAGAGTTTCAGGAATTTAAAAACAGCAGAGCAACTTTAGCATTTGTTAAAAATCCTCGTAATGCTACGATAACCGAGTTGAAATTTTCTCCCTTTGAAATTGACATTGGTTGCTTTGAAATACAATTGCTGGATTTAAAAAAACAAGGAGATATGGCGCTTTAAATTCGAACGTCTTTGTGTTGAATTGGAAATATTCTAGAAGAAATAATGTGATCTTAGTTCACAACACAAGTGATCGGCTTTGTATGACCTTGAGAAGGAAGACTTGATCATTTTCAACGCTTGGAATAATATGCCTATCACTAATTCATTAACGTTTCGGTTATATTATGTGAACAATCTTTTTCAAGCATGAATATTATCAAGAGTTAACTGAGAAGTAGTCTTATTGATGAGAACTTGGAATCGTGCCTAAAATTAAAAAAAAAACAACATATGAACCTAACTTACTCAAACTTTCCAAGGAGATGCAAGCACGTTGTTCGCATTAATTTAGTGTACTACTAATTTAGTGTAATAAGAGTTTACCAAACAAGCTGATTTGGCTCCCAATTTTTTTTAAATTGTTGTAATGTTCATATTTGACTCTTTGGCTAATAAGTTTGCCGACCACTGGCATAGAGCAACACGGACCACCGGCGATCCGGAAAGTAGTTGCGTTTTTCCCCAATACAAAACTGTCTGTCATTTATTGGGGGGAAATCTGCGCACAAAACACAATCGTCTGTCACTACGAAACTTGACACACAGATAATACAGACTCGGTCAGTCGCTCGAGCGATTGCATATTGTACGATAAACAAATCCGACACAACACGATCGTTAGAATTGTAATTGTTAAGTTTAAAAAGTAGTAAATATTAATAATGTGATTAAAAATTACTTTGTATTTGAAGGGTAATCCAGCCATCTTTTTGTAAATTTGACGTAGTAGATCTCTTTTTTTACCGACTTCAAAAAGGAGTATATAATGTAAGGATGTATAAGTAGGTACAAGTACCTCATAACTTTTTTCTGAGTAAACTGATTTCGATGATTTTCTTTTTATCTGAAAGCTGGTGCTTTTCATGTGGTCCCATATAAATTTGATCAAAGTCTGACCAATAGTTTTTGAGTTATCCTTAATAATTTATATTGAAGTCGGTTATAAAAATTTTTAATTTTTTAGTCTAGTGAGCCGTGCGGTTGCATCTAATTTTCTGCCTACTTCCAAAAAGGAGACGGTACTCAATTCAACTGTATGTTTTTTATGTGTGTTACCTTATAGCCTTTTACTGGGTGAACCGATTTCGATAATTTTTTTTTTTGAATGCTGGTACTTCTCGTGTGGTTCCATATGGATTTGATCAAGGTCAGACCAATAGTTTTTGAGTTATTCTTAATAACTTATATTGAAGTCGGCTGTGCAAAATTTTTAATTTTTAATTATATTGTACTATGTGTACAATATAATTCGAATCGGATGGGAATCAAAGTATAGGGCCGCGTGGACGTATACTTTGACTCCCAACCGATCCGCCGCGGTGGCCTGTATTGCTCTATGATTTATTGAGTTTAAAACAATTACCTTTTTCAAATTACATTCTCTTACAAAGCCTTGACATTTTCTCTTTCGCTCACTTTTTTTAAATACATAATTAAAGTTTTTCGAGATGCATCCTTGTACCGTACAGCGAGCAGAGTAAAACAAACCCCCACTTAATTAAACGATGACTTGAAAAGGCACGACACGAAATGAATTGATACATATTGCATAATACTGGTTTCTTGATTTGTAATGAACTTGAAATAATTAAACTATCTGCTTTCAATCTTCAGATGTGAACAACAATACCGCCTTCACCGCCTCCTGGCATACGACCCTCGTAACGAGTGCCGGGGCATATTCGCCGACTGGTTCAAGTTTCCCGCTTGCTGCGTATGCAAGTGCTACGACGTGCCGCTCGAATTTCGCGCCAGATCGCCCAGGATCCTGCATCCTCAGTACGACGAGGAGGTCAAAAGGGTGATATACGAAGATGTGGCGAGGGACTGGTACTCGATGTCCGTTTACGATGAAGATGACGATTTGTACTGAAGTGAGTAACGTAAAAAATAAAATTAATGTAAAGCCGCTTCAAAAAACTAAAACACACTTACAGTTCCATTATCAGTGTATTTTTTTTTTATAAAACAAGTGACAAACGAAGTTACAGTCCGTCTGATGGAAAGTGTCTACTGCAGTCCAAGGACACTTGCAGAAAACTTGAAAAAAAAATACCTCAGATGCGTTGTCATCCCTGAGGGCTAGATGAATGCCTCAAAGCCTTTAATTATGGATCTGGCTCCGGCTCTCTATACACTTAAGACAAAAATAGGTAAGAGGGTGATTCTTCAGGACTTCGTTTAGTATAATATACTGGGTGGCGATTAGGTTATCACATTAAATAACACAGCAGTATATACAAGTTCATATATGTCGAGTAAAATAATAAAATAAACAATTCTACCAAAAATAAAAAAGGCATTTTTCAAACAAAACAAATAGCGTAAAAATTGACACGAAATAAATCACCTTAATAATATTAATTTACTGGCTAAAAGTGACATGTAAAAGCGGCAACAACGGTGCGGCAGGTGCGCAGTGTTCACGCGTCATTTACATAGGTTACCTACACTTTCCCGTTCATAAGTAATTAGGCAAAAAAACGAAAAAAGGGCTGTTGCGACTAGAATGTTATTTTTTATATATTTTTTTAGTTGTGTATGTTCAAAGAACGTTATATAGGATAAGTCTTTTCATTTAATGTGATAACTTTATCGCCACCATGGACGTATAAAATGATTGCCACCCCGTATAAAAATTATCAGTAATAGATTGGACATTGTTTTCTTTTTTTGCCAATGATATACGTTATGAAACGAATTTAATGGTTCTTTTATAATTAAATAGTTTATAGTTCAGGGGTGGTCCCATTAAATTTGAAGAAAAAATTCTACCTCTGAGGGAGTAAAAATGAAGTTTTTGATGTAACTACTCAAACGTCATTCTTTTTTGACCTTGAGTTTGTGATATTCCTTAATCCACTCAAAAGGGTCCAAAAATAAGATTTAATAAAAACTTATGAAGAACTAAGAAGAATATTATAATTTACCATAACAGGTTTTGAAGCCGGGAATTTAATACTTCTATTACACTATGTTTTAGCACCGACTTCTGAAGCTAATAAGCAGAAATTATTTTATTATTTTTCGTTTTTTGAAGTCGGTTTTTACGTTTTATTATAAGTCTATTTTTTGCTGTGTTTAAATTATTTTTATATATTTTCAGGTTGGGCCCACATCGCCTATAAATATTTGTCATCCAACTCACATTTAATCTTCACATTGGAAAGTTTGTTATAAAAACTTTCATGGAAATATTTATAAGGTGTAAAGAATACATATTATAGTCACAACAGCTTAGTATCTAACAATAAAAAAAAATCAAATTAAATTGCCATATAACAAAATTTTCTTATTAGTCCTTAGCCAAATAAATTTTTCAATATTATGAATTTTCTACAACGTCCGTTAATTGGGACGATAGTAGTAGTTACATGAAAAGGATCAGACCAATAAATACCTAATTTTCGATATTATGTCATACGCACATTGTATTGCGCGCTCTACACTCAAGTCCCCTCCACACTTAGGCCGGGAATCGCGCGAGAAAGCGCAAAGAGGTGTTTAGGATTCGTCATTATACAAACGGTGTCGCGTGTTGCTTACCGACCGTTTCTATAACTATTGCCTATTCATGGCTTAAGTGTGGTTTTGATCCTTTTAGTGACTATTTCCAACCAACAATTAGTGTAACCGTGATAGAATAAGTTATTATTTATTGCTATAATTTATTGTTCTAGTAATATAATAAATGTATATAATGCATAGAATAATGTTGTTTTTAATATTGTTTGTATAAAATGAAATTTATTTTTAAGGCTAGTGAAATTGTAAAATATATTCTGTAGGCGTATAACGAATGTTATATCGAGTTTTTGAGAGATTTTATTAAAGTTTACTCGTTATCAATTCTTGTTTATATTTATTTCAAGTTTGCCGTGTTCTACCTGCATTTTTTACACGAAATATAAAGTTTTTTTTTAGACAAACGAACACACAGTCCACCTGATGGTAAGTGAATACTGTGATGATAGACATCAACATATTCTACCACGTGTAAAGTGGAAATTAAAGGGCGATATGGGTCTTAAGCAGTCTGCAGAACATCCAGAACAACCAAGCTCTGATGGGCGGTCTCCGTTTCCGTCTGTCACCTATTACGACACCCATGGAAAGATATGGAGTAGTGGGTATTCTTACCCGCCACTACACGGGGATTTTATAATGTAGTAGACAATGTAATTTAGCAGACAAAACAATTAAGCAAGATTAGCAACTATAGTGCGCGCAAGATAACTCTGCGCGCGACTGATGGCGTACTTAATGTTGCCAGCTTAACTAATATTTTTTCCTTCATTTATTCGTATTACCAGAATTATATAATTATATCAATTTACATAAACGATCGAATTGATTACCAAAGCTCAGCTAAAAAATCTCTAATGTTCAGCTGAAACTTACACTGACCTAATACATTTTAAACCCGATATTTATTATTTAAGAAACCTATAATAATAAATGATTACTAAATATATAATAAATATATTTCTTGACCCTAACTTTCATAACTTTAACACTTCACTACACAAGATTCTATGGTAAGACCCACGTTAATATAAATTATTGCTTAAGAATCATTTGAAAACGTTTAATTTATGAGAACGAGTTTGAGACAAAAATAAAAAAAAACATGCTTCACTTTCATTTCTGATATTCTTCTCAGCAAACCCTTTTATTTGATATCCATATCATGGGAACGCTTGAAATAAAATAACAAGTCCTCCATCTTTAGGAGCCTGCCATTTTGGATTCAGAATGTTGTCACTTGTATAATTATACATGTCTTCCAAATTAAACGTATATGCAAAATTTCAGCTCCATCGAAAACCGAGAAGTTGGCCAAATTTATCGTTCAATTTTTTTACATAATTACAGGTACATATTATATATGCTTGTAAGAAATGACTATTACTAAGATTAATAAACACTGATATTTTGTCTATGATAAATTTTTTAAAAAAGGTATTTTGAAACAGAACTGAAATAGTATTATAATATTTATTATAAAGAACGAAATAAAAAGTCTATGGAAACCTTGTAATTATTTTATTGAATACCCAGTATTATTTGTAAATTTGGTGTAACAATTGTCCTGCAGTGGTTCAACGCCTTCCATTCACACATCTTTATGAGAATCCATGCTAGAGTCTTCATCAGTAGACTTGGATATGTCGCCTGTAATATTAATTAAAAATTTATCCATTTCCATACACATCAGCCTATCTGTTTCAAAATATTTATCTTCTATTTTTTCTACATGTAGACATACATTGAGCCATTCTTCTATCGTTACTGTTCTAAACGCCGCCTCAGTAATAGCAGCTGTTTCACTAGGAGTTTGAGTGACATTTTTCTCTGCAATGCTCCTCTTTACTATTGGCCAAAATTTTTCGATGGTATTTAAATCGCAGTGGTAAGGCGGTAAACGGAGAACCTCATGTCCATGTTCATTTAACATTTATTCTATTTTATACTGTGGTTCTCCTTTGTGTTTTCGAGGAAATTAAAAACGACCAAATCGAGAAAATCGGGGAGTTTTATTGTTATGGTAGCCCTAAAAATTACCTGTCAAATTTGCAACGTGGGCTCGAACTTTGGAAAACGGTAATGTAGTTCCGTTATTATCTCGTTCTTCTTCTCAAGCACGTTTGTCCTTCAAGATAATATCCCTGCAAGCACTTTTAATCACTTTCGACATAATGATAACGATTATTTATTGCAAAAACGGATAAAACTAACACTCAGTTTTGACACCTGCCAAAAACAGTAAGATGGCGGTACACGATTAGTTCAAATTTTCGCCCAGGCTGGTGCAATTTCCATAGTAAAAATTATATGTACTACAGGGGTCAAATTTTAATGACGGTTACTCTTCTTTATGCTTTTCGTGATATGTCTATTAACGACATTGTCAAATTAAATAGGTTCAAATGTCAAATCAAACAATTATATTTGTATATATTTTATTAATTAAGATTGCTTTTAATTTTGCTATAGAAGCCGTTGTTCATTTACAGAATTGTTAAGAAATTAAATATGCATTATAAAACTTTCCAATTAAATGGTGCAAGAAGCGGAAAAAATCATAACAAGAAAAGTCTATTCGTAACAATATTTCCCTTAGATGATGAAAGGTATGTGGTGATTTCAACTTTAATAGTAATATGATATTCAACGCGAGTATATTTTTGGACTAGCCATCTATGTAGTGTACGATTGTGTGCACAAATACAAACACACTATTTCCTAAATCTGATAGTTCGATGGTTTAGCAATCCGAAACGAACTATACTTAGAAACTAAAAAAGTCAATTCTGACTGCTAACATTCTGTTTGTTCAATAATAATGTGATTTTATTTATATTATTTTTTCAGATGCAAGCAATGGGTCAAATAGCTGGCACATGCACCAATTGAAAAGATTCACATTCACATTCACACGAGTCCTTTCCGATCGGCTCGACTCATTGGCACTGCGAAGAGATGTTGCATCTCTTAGCATTTTCTTTTGCATTTACCATGGGGAGTGCTCTGAGGAATTGTTCGGATTAATCCCAGCCGCCAAATTTCACGAACGCACATCGCGGCAGAACTCCCGATACCATCCACATCATCTGGATGATTGGCGGTCCACCACTGTGCGATTTAGAAGATGTTTTCTTCCTCGCACAACTTCCTTGTGGAATAGTTTACCACCAGCGATTTTTCCGGACCGATACGACTTAGGGACCTTCAAGAAAAGAGCCTACTCCTTTTTAAAAGGCCGGCAACGCATCTGCAATTCCCCTGGTGTTGCGGTTGTTCATGGGCGGCGGTAGTCACTTACCATCAGGTGAGCCCCATGCTCATTTGCCCCCTCTCCTATAAAAAAAAAAAAAAAAAAAAAACATTGCATATGAACCCAACTAAAACGAACTGTTATTTCTTTAGTGGACTTACTTTAAACTTCCACAATTTATGTCTATGTTAGTTAGGTTTCATTTACATGTAGCAAAAGATAATATCCCTCTAAAGTCACATTTTGGCAAGAATTAGATTATATAACTAAATCATTATTTTATTCATCAATAAACATTAGCTATAATGAGCACTTATTTTGAAAGCGACAATTAGTAAACGATCTCTGCGAATAGTATGTACATAGGTGCCTATGTGAAGAAGCCTAGCAATTTGTACATAGTATTTGTTACACATAAAAGCAATTTAATCCAATCAGTATTAAAAACCCAATATTTTTACCCTTAAAAAAACTAACGTTGAAAACAAGCATCCACACGCAGACTATTTATTTTACAGCATAGCAACAATTGTTCAGTGCGGGAAGGAAGCCTCGGTCCTGCAATGCCGCAGTCAAACGCTTAACCACTGCGCTACGGAGTCGTCATTTATTTTTTACTTAATTAATTGCTAGTATGAAAGTGCGTTTTTATTTTATATTTTCTTTATACATACTTTTGTACCTAATTGTGGAGATATAAATAAAAATTGCTGTGTGTAAAATACATTGATTTCTTATCCTCATCGGCATTTTTACTCAATCCACACGTTTATTTCTCATAAATAATTCAGTATAATCTAACTTTTCTTATGTAAAAATATCGATAAACAATATATCGATAAAGGTTATATCGATAAAATTATTCGAGGATAGACATTTACAGCACTATTGTAATTCGTCAATGTTGTCAGCACTTTTTCTCAAAACTAAATATCCATATCTTGATGTTGGTAGAGTAACTTGGCGTAATTTCATGCAATTATTTTTACTATGGAAGTCCCGCCTCTTAAACGTAGTGATTATATTCTCTTTGTTTTCGCCGCCCACAGAGTTATCTTGCGCGCACTCTACAAAAGTTTTCATGTGTGTTTTTTGTCGTCAAAACGTCCAGTAATAAAAATTTTCTCTCATCCTAATACATCATGTAAAACCAAAACATGACGATATATCGATATTTATCAAACGATAATTAACTGCTTAAAAATATATCAATAAAGATCGATATATTTTTTCACTTGCCCATTTGCAACGTCATGAGCATTTACTGTTGCCAAAATAATATTCAAATTTACGGTAAAGATAGAAAAATATTGTGAGCTTTATAAATTTATTTACAATTCTAGATTTGTTAATTTTCGTGTCTGGGCAAGAGATGCAGAGAGTGCCAGAGTATCGCTATATATCGTATCGATATTTTAAGAAAATATGAATATCGAATTCAATATATGAAAAAAAATCGATATATTGGTGAAATTTTCTAAATAACTATTACTATTACTAAAATATGACGAACTAAATAATGGTATGTCTAAATTAGTAAATTGGTTTGATGTTAATAATTTACATTTAAATGGCACTAAAACGAAATGTCTGAAATTCATGACTCCAATTGTCAAACATTTAATAACTAATGTAATTTTAAAAGGGGGAAACTGAGTTTTGTGGATACCACCATTTTTTTGGAATTATACTAGCCGCGAAGCTTCAATGAAGCCCCCATATATCAAAATTAGCAACCAGACTTAGTTCTGCAGCATATGCTGTAAAAAAGGTCGATAATTACTTTAGGTATTTCCATGGCATAACGTCGTATGGTATTTTGCTATGGGTACACGCGACTGACATTGAGATTATATTTGTTGTACAGAAGAAGGCCATAAGAGTAATCTATGGTGTAAAACCAAAGAGTGGCTCCGATAAAAATTTAAGGAAATTAATATATTAACCTTGGCCTCTCAATACATTCATGAAAATAATAATAATATAATAGTACGATCCTTTATCATCTAGGCGAGCGGATGACGGCTGCGGAGACCCACATAAGGATAAGAATCATCCAGGGCGATTGTCTGAGTCCAATCTGGTTCTGCCTCTCTCTGAACCCTCTCAGTACCTTACTGGAGGGTTCCGGGAGGGGATTTCAGCTTCGGAAAGGAGGTACAAAAGTAACCCACCTTTTCTATATGGATGATCTCGTTATTCGCCTCCAGTCGCTCCCATCTTATGGAATTGCTGATTGTGATTTTAGCAATTCCATTAGAATGGAGCTGGGGACGGATAAGTTTGCGGTTCTCCATGTCGAAAGGGGTAGGGTTGCTAACTCTGAGGGCATAGACTTATCTTTGATGCCTGGGTATGTCACACAACATAGGTATCGATGATGCGGACATGAAACAGTCAGTTTGCGATGTGTTTTATGCACGCTTGACAAAAGTGCTCAACAGTATTTTGTCGGGTGTGAATAAGACACACGCATTTAACAGTTGGGTCATGCCTGTCCTCATACCTTCGGCATACTCAGGTAGTCTCAGACCGAACTGAACGCTCTGGATAGAAAAGTCCGCACCCGAGATCGTCAGTAATGAGGCTGTACTTGCCGCGGAAACATGGTGGGCGCGGCTTGTTGAGCGCTCTCGTGAAGTGTGCAGCGTCCGTAATAATTTTTTGGTGAGATCGGGTGATCCATTCTATAGGGACGTCATTTCGTGTGATAAAGGGCTTACTCCTCTATCATTAGCCAACGAGCAATGGCAATACCCAGCAGTACAGTCCATTTCAGAGACAGAAACCGTATGGAAGGAGAAGGAGCTCCACGGGAGGTTCTATAAGGCTCCAC